CCATCTACATTTAATAATCCTTTAGTTTGCATGCTACCACTGATCAGCAAACCAACTCTGTAATTATCTCTGGTAAGAAAAAATACATCTTTGGGTCTGTCATTGTTTTAGGCTCTGTTCCCCCTAAAGGTCCTTATGCTAAATTATGAACCACATTCCCATAATGCTTGGTTTCTTATACTCAAAGCACAGCTAAACTATGTGTGACCTTTGGATTAGATAACTTTCAAAAACTGCAGAGTAAGATTTTTTATATCTATCAGAACTTGGATCTGTGATGAATGTTTTCACTTTTGATGCTTCCTCTTTTATGAATCTCAGACAAATATAATTTGGTTTGCATGCTAGAATGATGGTATTTTTAGATGTGCAGAAGGAGATTAGATAATGCTGCATAGCAGGATTTTAAAATAAGTTCTGCAAAGTACAAGTTTTGCTATCTAAAATAGCGTCCAGAGTTGTTCACCATCTTCTGTCACTAGAATATGAAGCTAATTAGATATCTGGTAAGCCATAGTCATGTTATTGAATATCTGTGGTCTTCTTAAACTAAGGAGAAAGAAAAAACCTTGAATTTTGAGTGAGGTTTGATATTTCCATTGGTGTTTAAACTACTGGTTAAGAATTTTAAAAAGAGTATTACTATTGTTCCTAATAAGTTGAGTATTTTAAGTAAAAAATTATTATGAGGAACTGGATACCCCCTCTTTTTTTAAAGTGTTGACTGTATTTTCTATCAGTCTTTGGTTTTTAGTACAACACATGTCAGCCATCATTGATTGCCATGGCTAAATGTTGCCTGACTTCAAAGGTAAATGATACCTGGTTAGGACCATCAGCAAATGCTAAAAGGATGATTCACCTCATCTGGCTCTGCCCATCTAAAGCTGCGAGTCTAAGCTTTGGGCCCCTTTCCTAGTAACCAAAGATAGACCCACCAGAGATAGCTGTTTCAGGTGACTCATTCTCTGGAGTCGCTGCTTTGTTGTGGCTTCTACTGGAGACATGCCAGGTATGGGTCAGGGTGAACAGGTTGTCTCCAGCTGCGTCCTTCTCCTGGCAGTCATCGCCAGTCTGCTCTCCTCAGCCCCTGATCTTGAAGTGTTCTTACAGACCTGTTGAAATGACAGGGGCCGTCAGCCCTGACCTCCTGAACTTCACAGGACACTGGAGAGCACCCTGCTGCCCCCAGAGACTTGACCCAAACTGGTACTGTACACCTCCTGGAAAGGCAACCCTCAAACAGGCTGGAAGCCTCACAGTTCCTTGGAGGGCTGTCGAGGTGATGAGTCAGCCTGACTTAAACAAGTGTGCCCTAATTCCACTTCAACATTTTCTGGCTTCATCTTCCAGATCCTGGGGTTTGTGATCGTTTTGCTCTCTCATTTAAAGAGGCTTTCAAAAGCTGGCATCCAAATTCAATACATGATCCATGAAGGAGATTGCTGGCAAGGAAATTTTTGTAAGCATTTTCTTTATATTTCCTACAGCACCACTCCCAAGGGAAGTTATGCAGTGGCTACAGTCATCTCACCTTGAAACTTCTCAGATGCTCAGGCATATCTACGAAGTAAAATGCCATCCAGCATATTGGTGTGCTCTTATGGGTATTTCTGCACAAAAAAGACATTGAGGTGCTGGAGCATGTCCAAAGAAGGGCAGTAACGCTGGTGAAGGGTCTGGAGCACAAGTCTTATGAGGAGCAGCTGAGGGAGCTGGAGTTATTTATCCTGAAGAAAAGGAGACTCAGGGGGGAACCTTAATCACTCTCTAAAACTACATGAAAGGAGGTTGTAGCCAGGTAGGGGTTGGTCTCTTCTCACAAGTAACAAGTGACAGGACAAGAGGAAATGGCCTGAAGTTGCACCAAAGGAGGTTTAGATAGGATATTAGGGAAAATTTCTTCACTGAAAGGATGGTCAAACATTGAAACAGGCTGCCCAGGGAAGTGGTCACCATTCCTGGATGTGTTCAAAAAGCATGTGGATGTGGCATTAGGGGACACAATTTAGTGGTTGACTTGACAGTGCTGGGTTAATGGTTGGACCTGATGATCTCAGTGGTCTCTTCCAACCTAAACAATTCTATGATTCTCTAGTTTCAGCTGTGTTCAATCACTGCTTTCCTGTCTGTTGAAGTGTCTGACAGTTCATTTTCTTATCAGCAAAGTCCATATTCTGTGCTCATGCTTCTTAATAAAAAACTAAGGGAAAGTCCCCAAGCTGTCAGATGGTCTATTAACTTAAATACAGTCCACATCTTTGCTCTCATCCCATTGCCTACTTTCATTTGCTCTCAATTGGAAAAATCAGGTCTAGCTACCCATGACCTTGCAAAGTGCCAGTCATCTGGATTTGTCAGATTTTGCTGAAATGCTTCTTTAAATAAGGAATTTTTTCATGAGTTCAATGTTAGCATCTGTACTCGATTTCTAAAGTATGTTTTCTTTAAAAAAGCTTTTTTGAAGCTGTGGTCTGTTTTTATCTCTGTAATAATTGCAGCAACCTGATTGGGTTCAATTCCTTTGTGTTTTGGGTGACTATGTGGTACAAGAAATTGTCCTACTGCCCATCAGGATTTATTGCATATATCAGTGCAGTCAATGTTTCAAATCAATTGAAAGAGACTATATTTTTGTTGTTTTAAAAAAAATGAAAAATTACATGGCTCTGTATTTCTAAGAGGGAAAAGTAATTCTATTTTCCCAACACAGTAAAGTAGCACATCCATACCTTGCCTAGGCACAGTCCTTCCTCTCAGTATTACATAGGCTAAATATAAATTTTATCACAAAAGGGAGGACAAAATAAAAGGCTGTGTTCAGTGCTAATCACTTTTGTTATATCCCATGACTTTTCTAGCCTCAAGACATTAATGGTAGAGAAGGAATGGTATCATACCAAAGGTTGCTAAGCTGTCTGCCCTTCCCCAGCCACTCTGCACAGCATCTGTGGTTATCCTTTCACAAGTCATTCACACTTACTTTTGGGGACTTTCTAATTCTGTTGAAAATATATAATTTGTTTTATATATAATACTGTTAATAACTAATACTTTGTTAATCTGGTATGCAGTCTCTGTCCTTTTCAAACCATCTCAATGCTTGTATGGTGTTACAATGTCAAAGTACAGAAAGTACACTATATTAAAAAAAAAAATTGTCAAGTAACAGTATGATCTGTTAGTTAGGGGACCTGTTATTTAGTGTGTGTGTTTCAGTGGTTGAGGTGTTAAAGATGTCTAGGTCCCTCTGCACACTTGTCCAGTGACTTTGGCAGGTCATACACTTAATAGATGTCTCTCCATCTTTTGAACATGAAAAATAAATCCAGCTGATCTAGCAGTCACTTGGCCAAGCTAGCATGAGTCACATCAGCCTGGCAAGAGGTGAGACATGCTAGCTCTAGTACCTTACCAGTGCATGGTTTCTGGACTAAAGGGCTTGAGGCCACACTGAGCAGAGCCTGCCCACTGGCTTACCACCAGCTGTGGAGCTGCAGCCTGGCTGTCTTCATGTTCTGCTCCCCGTCGCTAAGTGATTTCAAAATGGAAAAGACCTGGTAATGCCACTGGTAGTTTTTCTACTGATGTGCTTCAGAGCCTCAAGCAAATCAGTTTCAGATTCTCCATCTATTCAAGTTTGATAATTACGCATATCTTTCTGGGCAATGCGCTGTGAGATTTGAGAAGAAAAATGCTGTAGCTGTTCTTAATCTTAACTCATTCATTGTGCTTAATCCAAACTAGTATTTAAGCTTCATGACTGAAATAATAAATTAATATCTTTTTGGTTAAACTACGGTAGGCCATGAGCAGCAAACTAATGAAACAAAACAGATTTTCTCCCCTCAACCTGTGCCCCCATGCTAGTGTGGGTATGACCTCCTACACAGCGACTCAGCCTCCAGTGGTGGGCTCACAAAGCATGCCCCTGCAAACCACCATCCTCCTCAGCTTTTCCAGTCCATCGTTTATGTACACTACCACAGAAGATTAGATAGGATGCAACATTATGGCTCTTATGCACATATTTTTAGGGAATCATAGGTTCATATGATAATATGGGTTGGAAGGCATCTCTGAGGGTCATCTAGCCCTATCTCTCATTAAAAGCAGGGAGAATTTACAAGCTAGATGAGGTTGCTCAAGGTCTCATTCTGTTAATTTTGTGTGTCTTCAAGGTTTCTGCAGCATCTCTAGACAACCTGCTTTAATGTCTAGACACTCTCAGTATTTTCTTCCTTATACTCAAATGGGATTTTTTTGGTTGCAACTTGTGCCTCTTTCTCATTTTTCTCTTTCTTTTTTCATGACCTACAACCCCCTTTCTTCAGGGTCTTTATCTTGCCTAGCTAGAATTTTTTCAGAAGCTTCTTGTATGATGTATACTTACCTAGGAAGTAATTTTACTTGTTTGTTTAGGATTATTTGCAGTAAACTCTTTAGAAATCATTTAGGTTGAGGCAGAGATTTTTAAGATAAGCCCACAGAAGTCAGATTCCACAGAAACTCGATGGGATCTGGCACATATTTTGTACAAGCTCCCTCATCTCCTTTTGCCTTCCACAAGTATTTCATTTTGGAGCCAATTCTAATGATATGTGCTCCAGAAATTTCAAATTGCACAAAAAACATTACTTGTTCTTTAGAGGAGAAATATTATACAAGGGAGAGAAGGGGCAGAGCAATTCAAATATGTATGGGACTGCAAAGACAAGCTAAAGAAATATGCTTGATAATTCACATGCAAAGGAGCAACTGTGGATGTAGTTAGGAGACTGCCTGGTATAAAGATACCTGATGTAGAAAATAATCCAAGCCAAACAGTACAGGAAGATGTCAAAGAGTGCAAAGAAAAATCTGAAGTAAAACAAAAATGTGTCCAAATTAATGCTGGTCAGGGACATTAAGGACTGTTGGTGCCCTCAGGGCCCCAACATTCTCATCCTCAGTTCTCCAACAGTGTTTTCTAATCAATGCATTTCTGTTGATCCTCCCAGGTGCTGAAATTCATCCCTGAGGCTGGGCATACCAGAAGAAAAGGCAGAATCAGAAACAACATGGCCTTAGTTGATATACAGCTGGATCACCATGAGCGTTGTGATTGTATCTGCAGTTCAAGACCACCCCGATAAAAAAAAAAAAAAAAAAAAAAAAAAAAAAAAAAAAAAAAAAAAAAAAAAAAAAAAAAAAAAAAAAAAAAAAAAAAAAAAAAAAAAAAAAAAAAAAAAAAAAAAAAAAAAAAAAAAAAAAAAAAAAGTGAGAGGAAGAAAGAAATGAAAAAAACACAAGACACACTAATTGCATCTTACTGGAATGTTTACTTTTAAGCAGGATTGCTCTGAGGACCTTTACTCACTATCATTTGAAATTTGCTACTAGCCTGCCTTTGCAATTAGCAAATTAGCAAACATGATCTCTGTGTTTCAGCATAGCTATACTGATTAGTGCCATGGCAACTAAACAGGTATATCATAGATTTATGTATCAGCATCCAAGAATATAATATTATGGTTATCTGTAGATAGATTCTGAGGGTTGAGATTTTAAAAGCTAAATTGCAGTCCTTAGGCACACAATGCCCACTGAAATTAAACACCAGGTTCATAGGTATTTGTGGTAGCTGGCAATGAAATAGCTTTGTGTTTGTTTTTCACTCACCAGTTCCTACACTCAAATTCTGCTGTCATTTCTACCTCCTCAGCTCTCCTGATAGTCATTAGGGGTTTGTGGGTATAAATGAAGAGAGAATTTGAGCCTGTATGAGTGCAAAATTATTTGCCCCACTCTCAGAGGGAACTTCCCGGCATTCTGGCCCAACAGAGTGAGACAGAATGCAGAAAATCCATCAGTACATGAAATAACACATCAGTAAAGTCAAATCTCATTGTTTGTACTCGAGCAGATCATGTGCTGAAATTAGTAGGTGCTTTCCATAAGCCAGGACACTGATGGTGGAAGAGGGGTGCAGAGGCTGATACTTTTCCCTTGGTTACTCCATGGGAGCCATCAGCCAGGTGCTTCTGCAAGAGGGGGCTCCCACCCAGTTCCCAGATGAATCCCTCTAGGCTGGGACTGATTCTGGTCACTACTTACCTGGTCTGGACTCCTGCCCCTTGCCCAGTTTGACCCACAGTTGCTCAGGAGGAGTGCCCTCTAAACAAAAAGGGAGAGACAGCCCCTCCCATTCTATCCTCTTCACAGCAGTTCAAGGAGTGCCATATTTTCCCATTGAGGAGACGAAGATAGGGCACTTGTTTGTTGAAAATATTGATTTGTTTTGCAGTTGTGTTACTGGGAAACAAAACTGTGTTTGAGATTTAATTATCATTATTTGGTTTGGGGTTTGTTTGTTTGTTTGTTTGAAATATGGATTATTATAACTTTGTCATAAATGCATTAATCTTAGTTATCTGAGGTTAGTTGTCTCATTCCAGCTCTGTGTATTGCTATGGTTAAACTGTTGACAGTGAATTTCTTTTTGATTGCATTTTTCTGAAGCACATTAACTCATTAAGCAACGTCTGTCTGTCATGGAAAATGTGCATAATTTGTTAATTTCCAGAAGAGTACTATTAAACAGCACCTCATAATAAAATTAGCACTTTAAAAGCTGCAGCATAGCTTCCTATGGTTTTTAAAATATTATGAAAGTGCTCTAACTGAAAAAGGAAAAAAAAATCCTTCTAAACTAGCTTTAAGGATTTTTAAATGCTGCTTCAAAAGTGCAAAAATACAGGCAGATTTAAGTCTGGTGAAGAATTGGAGTTTTGATCATGAATGTAATGGAGAGAATAGGGTGGCACGTTTAATGGCTGAGGGTTTATATTTAATAGTAGACATAGGCTGCATCAAATCATCCACGTTGCCTTGTCTTTCTGTCTCACTGAAAGAGTGAAGTAGTTTGACAGTAGTGTGTTATAATTAGTGGAAACTGGCATGTGCTATAAAAAAAATAAGGCTTTCAAACCAGTATGTTTTAGCACTCAACAGGTTTATTACAAAAACGCTCTAATGTTCTGACTTGCCCTCTTCATCAGCTCAAGTATTTTTAAGTGATTTTTTATAATTTTAGTAAAACTTTGCTGAAAGATCCCTTAGAAGTGTTGTGTTACTTTCTTTCTTGTACTTCAGCCTTTAAGATTCAGAAAGTTTGGGGGTTTGTTATTTATATTAATTTTTCCTCTCTGACTCCCAGATGTCTATTTAAAAATGCTCCTGAATGCTTACTTGGGAAGTGATTCATCATTTTTCAAAGCAATTCACATTAAAAGAAAAGTCCTGTAACCAAAGATTACCAGCTTTATTTTGTAGTTCAGGGCTATTTAAAGAACATCTAATTTTTTTTCTGTCTCTAGCTTAATAACAAGATTGACCCAGCCCTTCCATAATTTTTACCTAAGTTTGGAAGAAATTTGCATGCGAGACCTTGGCAGTACGGATTGTTTTTGAGATAGTTGCACTCCAATGTATATCTCTGACTGATTTATGCCTTACTTCCTAGTTAGCATTGGTTGTAGGAAACATCAGTTTCACGAGGCTTTGTGCTCTAAGTGGTCCTTAATTCACACCCCCCAGGAAAAGCTGTGCAGCAGCACCCACTGGGCCAGGCGTGTCCCACACACCACTGCCTGCTCGCCCAGTCCCACCCCAACAGCCACGTGTTGCGAGGGGTATTTATGCCTCCTAAACAGGGGGATCCAGCCACATCTGGGAGCCTGAGTTACCCCTACAGGCATCTGGGAGAAGCTCTCCCATAGTGTGCCTTGGCCCCAAGGTTGAAATAACCCAGTGTGGAGCTTTTCTTTCTCCTTTTGTATGGAGAAAGGTTGTATAGAAAGGTTAGAAATCTGATTTGGACATAAGTGATACACAGAGGTAGATACTATGAAAATTCCTTTTAAAAGGAATTCCTTTTTAAAGACTGAACAGCTGATAGTTCAGCTAAGTGAATTAGATAAAGGCAGCAGTGGATGCCAGAGTCCAGCAGAAAAATTCCGATAAAGGTAAAAAAATCCTCTTGCCTAATGATGGGTTTACTTTCTTAGATATAGGCTAAGCTTGTCGCAAAATTTAAAGCATTACTCCTGGGACACTTAGTAATGAATGGAACCATTCACTGCTTCAAGCTACCATAGGCAGCATGCTCCCAACCACTGCAGGAGGGTCAAGGATGGGCTTTGTTTTGCAGTGTGGGTGTGGTAACATACATGTGAACTAAGAAAAACTCCACAGAACCTAGCCCTGAGCTTCAGTAACCCTGGTGAAACCAGATACCAGCAAATTTTTTTTCTTTTAATTTATTAGGAGAAATTGCAGAGGTGTTTCTCCATACTTTCCCCCCTCTTTTGTCCATGTAATAATTATGTTGTTAACATATTATTTTAACTTAAAGAGCAAAGCTATTAGGAAACTAATCTGGTTCAGTTTTGTTGGTGGAATTGGAACTCTCCAAAATAAATATATTTTCAAAGGCAATTCAAAAAGAGTCCTAATTTCAAACCACTTGTTTGCTTTTTATTTACTATATTCTTCTGGGATAGATCCTACTTTCTCAAGTGCAATTTATGTATGTTTTTGGGTTTGGGTTTTTTTTTGTTGTTGTTTGTTTGTTATCTCAGTTAAATGCAGCTTTCCTAGCAGTACTTTTTTACTTTATGCAGTATGTAATGTGTCTTATCTGTACGAAAAAAATAAATACTGCTTTTGAAAGAAGATACTCTGAGTGATTTTTCATAACTCAGATGAATCCAAACCTGTGATTTACTGAAAGACATTTCCACAACATGACACCATCCTTACTCACAAGATTTCCTTTTGAATTTTAGCAGTCATTGCCAGGAGCATCAGAGAAGGACCAAAGTGCAAATTTGGGATAATCAAGTTTGAGCCCCCAAGCTGCTTCCTTGTGAAGCAGCAGCAGTATGACAGCAGCACAGCATTTCTTATAACCGGATTAGGGTGCACACCCATTTTTGGTGCTGCTCTCCAGCCCCCGCAGACTTGGCTGGGCTGTAGGAGGGATGTCCTCGCCTGTCTTACTGTAGCTGCTCCTTACTGGCAAAGGAACCTGGTGCAGAGGATCTTCACCCCCCTTGCACAAGGGCAGAGCTAAGCATCCAGTGTGTTCAGGGCAGCTGGAGGAACCTAAAACCTCTCCAGGTGGCCAAATTTGAGCTGTGCTTGTTGGTGTGGGCTTTCCCTCAGCTTTGCCAGAAGCAGATTTTGCTGTGTTGCATCTGGAACATAACTTTCACAGCTTTGGTAACTAATTTTCAATTTAAGGTTCTTGTGTTAAGCTGAAGCTGCCATAGACTTTCACTGGGTCTTGAACTGAAAAAGGATATATAATTTTTGCTAAATTAATTCTTCATTGGCTAGATCCCCTGTCTGATAAGGGAATACAGCCGTCTGGGGACTCAGGTTGGAGTCTGTCCTTATGCATGAGCACCTTTTTCTGTATGGCAATGCCACCAACCTGAAAGAGTCAGCCATTCAGCATATTTGTCACCTGTGGTTTAGTCCTCGTTACTCAGAGAAAAAAAATTAATACTTATACTTTCTTTTTTCTAAGGCAACCAGAAGAGAAGTTTTCTAACAAAAGCAGCAGTTCTCTTGTGTACAGGGAACAGGAACATACCTAATGGGTGGAAGAGATATTTTTTGCACTTCAGAAATGCTCTGAATACACTGTGTAGACAGAGCTCAGCAACTGCAAAGTGTTTAAGGATGGCATAAAGCTCCTCCCACCTGCCATTGCCATGTACCTCTGCAACTAATGGCTAGCTAACATCAGTTTGTGTTCACATAAGTGAAAGTTTTTATAATCTGAAACACGGGAAGCAGGACTGCATCTCTTCAGCTGTTAAAAGTGTGTGTTTCCCAAGGTCATTCAGAAACTCACCATTACCTTTTTCTAAAAATAATGGGGGTTTAAAACATTCATCTTCCCAGTTTGGAAGAACACAGAAACTTCCTCTAGCTAGTTTTAAGATGTGCAACAGCTGTAAAAATACTTTCCTGCAAATTCACAAGATTTCCCTTGCTCTTGTCCAGTGTGCATTGCCCATACATACTGCTGTAATGTGTATTCGGCAGATGTCCAATTTGTACTTATTCTCCCGGGGACTCCAGCACAGCAGCTAATTTGGAAATTAGTATTCCAATCTCTCATTCTAGGAACTTGGACTTAG